CCAGTATATGCCTTGTTGGACTTGATAAATATCATGCTGTTTTTCCCAAAGTACTATTATCTGTAAAGATTAAACCATTGTTCTATATCCCATTATAGCATATTCTTCAGCCACTGGAGGATCATTCGATTGCATGTTGATGTTATTAATTAGGTGTGAATGATCCTAGGATCTCCCTAATCTCCCAATATTCATGCTATTAAAGAATAGACGTGATACTTTTAAGGTATCATCCTCATTTTGTATTTCTTTGAGTCTAGTCTTCTTTCTTCTTTCGTGATAGAGGAGAAGAGAGGGGTATGTTCTTTCTCTTTCACTTAGCCAAAGATATAGAAGTTGACAGTATTTATTATCCACCCACACCAAGGCACAATGACTTATGGTAAACCTCAGGTTCTTATAAAGCTAAGAAAATGTATTTGAACATGTGAAGTGACCAATAGGAGCTTGTTTACTTCTTTTACTAATGTGAGCTCTATCTATCCAATCACGATGTGAGAAACTTTGTGCTACTCAAAATTTAGGGTCAAACTGAGGTAGACAAAATTCCCCAGAAAAAACCAAGAATGAGCACTATGAGAAGCAGAAACATGACAAGAGAGTGAAAAAGTTGTCTCTCATCATAACAACACTTCTGTAGTGTTTCTCTACAGTGTGAGATAGTGATACATTAGTTCTTCCTCCTTTCAGAACTTTCTTGCCATGGGTAAGAAAGGTGTTTCTTGATCTTTAAGATCACTGGAGGTCAAGTTTTTGTTCAAGGAGGATAGTAAGCAAGAGGGGGAAGGTGGTAGATAACTCTTGAAGCTTTTTCAAGTTGATTTAAAGAAAATTATAAGACTTTATTAGCCTAGAAGTATAAAAACTTCTTGCAAACATCTTTTTTGTGTATCATTAGAGAATCAGCAGAAAGAGTTAAAAAAAAATAATTTATATATATATAAATATATTAAGCTAAAAATATATTACATTTTAAGATATCTCTTATATAAAAGGAAAAGATTCATAGTAATTAATTTTTGAAAATAAAAAAACAAGAAAAGTTGCTAAAAGAGAAAGCTTTTATTTGAGAAAAACTATAGTTAAATAAAAATTCAAGTTGTGTAGCTTATGCAGTAGTGCTTAATATCTGGTAGCAAACTGCCTATTGAAGAAATGCTATATCCAATAAAAGCAATATAAATCAAAACAAGCTAAACATTTTGAAAAACTATATATTAAATATAAAATAGTAAAAGCAAAAGCAATAAAAAATTTAACTAAACAAAAATACAATACTATTAAACCAGGATTCTATACAATAGTAACAAGGCAAAATTAGTGATTCAAAGATAACTAGTCCTATGAATTAAAGATAATGAACACAATAAATAAAATTTTAGAAATATTAAAAAAATCAGATATAAAATTAAAAAAATTAAAGAGGATATGACAGATCTATATAAATGCATTATCAACCTGAAAAGCTATAATGAATAATATATGAAACAAATATATAAACTTCAAGATATTAAAAAGAATCTAAATATAATAATAGAAAATACAAAAGAGATACTAGACAATTTACAAGATATTCAAGTTCAAAAATAATATATTTACTTTACAATAAATAGATTGGATTAAAATATAGATAAAATATTTAATGTATTGACCAATATCTTGAACTCAAATATATTCAACCCTTCCATTTAATTATTAATAAGTTTGAACTTAGAGAATATTACAAATAATAGTAATAATTATTTAATAGAAGATATAATCACTTATAATATAAACAATGCTAATACATTCGTTAATTTACAAATGAATTTTATATGTATGCACAAAACAATAGAACAAATAAACAATAAAAAACCTAATAAATATTATTTGACAAACAACTATTTATAATATACAAGAATTGATAAATTATTAAAAAAAAGAAAACTAGTTTAATTAATATGTTATAAAAGATTAGATATTGTAGTAACAATAAAAACAAATAGGATATACCTTTAATTGAAATACCAAAAACATTCTTAATACAATATAATATAATCTTATAATAAATATCAAAAAACAAAACAAGGCTTAAATTAAATATAATGCTTAATAAAAAAATAATAAAAAGAGTATCCAAGTAGAATAAATGACTAGAAAGACTTATTTATATAAACTTAATCTTTTTAAAAAAACAAAAACTAAGAAGAATAAGAATATATTTTTTAATATAATGAAAAATAATAATTGATAGAATATTTTAAATGGTTAATATAATGGATTAAAGAAGTTATTTAAAAAAACTAACACCTTTTGGTAATGGAGAATCTTAAAATTATTTCTAACTCAACTTGGGATAGAGATAGTATAGATAAGTATAGCCAATAGATTCTCAGGCCTCCAAATAGAAATCCTTTTGGATTAAAGCCTAGAAACCATTTATAGACTTTACAATCATATCAAAAGAGAGTTCTTTTGGAGTTGTAATACTTATAGTAGTAGAATTAATCAAAACTGAATGAACATTCTATCCACTTAACAAAGTAGGAAAGTCTACATTAGTAAAATCTTAGACTCTCTAATTCTTAGTGATTATGGACCAATTATAATAGAGATAAAAGCTTGACAATTCAACTCAAGAAAAGGGTCAACCTATCACAAACCCAATATAAAATACATTTGATACCTATCAAATAGCAAACAGTAAGAAAAATTTGTATAAGAAATCAAAAGCTCCCTAAGCAAACAAAAACCCAAACTAAATTCTATAAATAAGCAATGAAATATATTATAAAATTATATTCTTAGGATAACAAAACTATATATTTTTAAAAAAAAAAACAATATCAGAAAAAAAAAATATTAAAAAAAAACAAGTCAATGAAGAAATCACTTCTTCAATTACAACTTCTTAGAAACCAAGTTAAGTTAGCTTTAAGAACAACAGTTTATTTTCAAATATATTGAAATTTCTTTAAGAAAAGTAGCAAATATCTAATAATAAATAAAAAAAAATAAAAAAAAAAATATTCAAATAATTACTTATCTTACTGAATTACACATCTTAAAGAATTATAACAACACATAAAGTTATAATTTATGCAATACACAGCGAAGAAAAAATCAGGCCATCAAATAAAAAATAGTAAGAGACAAATTTTTCTAAAAATAACAAAAAAGCAATAATAAATAATATCATGAATAGGCTAAAAAAATCTATTATTTAAATAAAATAATCATAAAAAAAAAAAAGAAAAAGTAAATATTTTAACTGAATCAGAAGAAATTAAAACCTCAATAAAACTGTATTTCAAGGACTAGACTTTAAAAAAAAACATTATATTGATAACAAATTACTTTCATAAAAAGAGAAATATAAGCCTAAGAACAATATCAACTATAGATAATATAATACAGCTATAATAGAAATATTCAAAGAAAAGTGAAAAAGGACAATCAAGGATAGAGTACAAAGTCTTCATCAGGAAAAAATCAAATCCCTTATTTATATATAAAAAACTAGATAAACAGGTCTCAGAAAAAATCAGAAATCTCTTTAATTAAATTAGCAAAAAAGGTTTTATACCTAAAGAGTGAAGTAAAAAAGCTATATAATCTATATATAAATTAAAGGATTAGTATAATAATTTCAATATAACAAGATCAATTATATTCTTAAATATAAAAGAAAATTTTTTACTAAGATTTTCATAAATAGAATTGCCTCCTATCTAATAAAGAACAAAATCTTATTAAAACTAAACTGGGTAGCACTTATAGGCTACAATACACAAGAACTGATTTATATAATAAACAATATCATAAAACATATTAAAGAAAAAAAGAAATAGGTATATATTTTTAATTAAGATATATCAAAAATATATAATTTAATAAACTTAGAAATGCTAACTAAGGTCTTGAAGTATATAAGAATTTCAATATATATTCTTTACAATATTTTTAACCAAAGACAAAATATAGTCTTAACATATTACAAATCTACAAAAAAAATGAGATCAATAATATTATTAATTAAAGAGATACAATTTTCTTATTATTGTGATAAATTTTTTATAATTTACTAATTACAACAATTAAAAAAACTTTATAGGCTATATAATATCAAACAAAACTTACTACATGGATTATAAATAATAGAAAAGAATAATAAATTATTAAAAAAGTTGAGGAATTCTACAAAATAAAGGATATCAAAATCAATTCATAGAAATTTTATCTGCTTCTTATTAATAAAAAAGATAATAACTTTAGACAAGATATAGAAATAGAAGATCAAACAATAAAAGGTTACCTGCAAAAAGTTCCAATAAAAATTCTAGAAGTGTGGTACAATAGCTTAGAGAAAAAAATTATAAAAAAACCTTAATATAATAAAAGTTTAAGAAAATTAAAGAACTATTAAGAATGTAGTACCTTATAGATAAACAAATACAATATATAATAAATTATATTCTAATTTCTAATGCAGAATACCTGTACAATAATATGATTTTTTTAGAAAAAACTTGCAATCTTTTTATAAACAGTATTATAATAGTTTTCAAATACAAGCTAGGTTTTGCAAAAACAATTCTTGACAATATTCTTTTTAACAAATATAAATACAATCTAATATATCTTTGGAATAGACAACTTCTTCTAATATTATCAAATGTATAAATAGAATTAATAAAAAAATATAATAGAAAAAATAACAAGAATTAGACTTCAGATTCTTCAAAATTAATTTTGATTCATAAAACCCATCTTAAACAAAATGGAATAGCCTTAAAAAATTTCAGAAAAAAGTTTAATGCATAATATTATTTGACCTATAAGGAGATATAGCTTCTCTTTTGATTTAAGCAAAGAAAACAACAGTATTACACATATCCAAGGGATAGATACTTCCATAAAAGACATTATAAGTAAACATTTCTACTTTAAATATTAATACAATTTTCATAAATATAACATTTTATTTATTGAATAGTTACTAAACTAAATTGCTTAAATATATGTTTTTAAAAGTTTTTTATTATTTTTAAAGTTTTAATAAAGTTATTACTATATTAATATTTTAAAAACAAAAATAATACTAATAATAATGAATATTAAATAATATAATAAATTTTTTACTAATAATTTTTTAAAATTATAATATATACATTTAAAAATAAATTAAATAGTATATTATATAAAAAAAGTTAAAAAATATAACTCTTTCTACTGATTCTCTAGCAATACACAAAAAAGATATTTGTAAGAAATTTTTATACTTCTTAACTAATAAAGTTTTTATACTTTTCTTAAAATAATTTGAAGTTCATTTTCAAGAATTATTATTATCTTTTCTTACTTGTTTATAAACTCTTTTAAACAAAAACTTGAGTCTTTAATAACTCAAATAGATTCAAGTATATATTTTTTCTATTAAAGGCAAAAAGGTTCTAAGAAATAAAAAGATAACTTGTAGAGTTTTATTTTTTAAAGCTACTGTATAAGTGATATGGAAATAAAGAGGTTGTTGATAAGAAAAAACTTATTATTTATCTTTTTATATTGTTTTTGTATTCTTAAAGTGTTTACTTTTTTTCATAGTTTTTTTAAGAAATTTTGCCTATTCTAAGTTGATCTTAAATTTTTTGATAGTATAATATCACTTGGTATCTAATTTGTTGATATAAAACATGTTGATATCAAAATATAAACAAGCTCTTATGGCTATATTCATATATTTTAATAATGTCATTGATAAAAGAAAGAAAAACTATTAATGTAAATTTCTTTATTTCTCCAAATGAAGTGTAATCAAAGCAAAGAAATTATAGGACTATTAGAATAAACACAAAATTTTTTAAGTAGTAAAAAGATGATTATTTATTTAAGCTAAGTTCTTTAACTTTTTATTATCCTAATTAGATAAAGTATATGAAAAAGATTATATTTTTATTCCAATTAAGCTATAAAACTGAAAAGTAAAAGATTGTAAATTATTATACTTCTATAGGATTGAAAATACATTTTTTCAAAAGTTGTATAATGATACCATTATTGATAAGGATTTCTATTGCTCTGTGATATCTTTTTACCATAATAAGTCAAAAAGACTATCAGGAATTTGACTTTTTGAACAATAAAAGATACTTACCAGTAAAATTTCTTTAACTAGATATATCAACTAAAAGATTGAATATAAAATCAATATCAAAAGAAAAGAAACTTTGAACAAGATACTGGATCCAAGTAGGTAATAAGTACTTTAAATAGTCACAAAAAATAATCAAGGTCACAGATGATAAGTTTTTTAAATAGTTAAGAAAAAAAATAATATTTTAGAAAAATTAATTTTCAATGAGAAATGTTTTTAGCAAAAGTTCTTTAAAGAATATGAAGCAATTTTATTAATTTTTATACAAGTACAGTTATATATTTTTAGATATTTCTTTTTTCTTTTTCTCATTTGTAGTTTCTCAAAATCAGTTTTTTGAAGAATAATAGATAATAAAAATCTATTAGCAATAATATATAAGTTAGAAAAGTATTTACTCAAAACTTAGTATAAAGTAAAATATTGTTTCTAAAATTACACTTAAAGGTTGAAACTTATTTGAGAATTGAAAACTATTAATGAGTATATTAGTATAAAATTTAGTTTAATTATAATATAATTACTCTATATATTGCTATTGGTTTTCATATTAATTAATAAACATACTATATTGATCTAATCATGAATAGTAAAAAAAAGTATATTATATAAAAAGATAATAAAAAAATTATATATAAAGATTTATTTTTATTTTTTTTTTTTAACCCTCAGTCAGATTAGTATAGCGTGTCTTTATTGTATATATGTTAGGTATTTACAAATTGTTGCAACTTTCACATACTGACTCACTTATCATCAAAAAAACTATTTTTCTAAATGTAACCTAGGAAATGATATTTCACTCCTTTACTAATTTGGATGATTCCTCTAATTAATAAAATCATTCCTACAAGTCATTACTGTAGATTATATATAAAGATTTAATAAACAAACAATAAATTTGATTTAAATTATAAATTTTATATAATACTATAATTATTATTGAAAAGTGAATTAAAGAAAAAAAAAGATAAATTAATAAAATATAAAAAATTTTAAAAATAAAATATATAAAGCAGTATATAATAAATTTAAAAAAAAAATAATTATATGTAAAAAATAAATAAAAAAAATATAAATTTATAAAATATAAAAAAACTGATAACTATTGAATTAAAAAAGCAATAACAATAATTTACAAATATTCAAAATAATTATAAATAAATATAATAAGACATGTTTTTTAAATTTCAATATAAATAATTATATATCAATTTTTAATAATATAATATATTTCTTAAATATTGAGACTTATGGGTTTGTAGTGCAGTAGTTAGCACTCTATTGATCAGATTACAAGATGCAGGTTCAAATTTTCCAGGGGGTTAATATGATTCCTCTGATTATAAAAGCAGGTAGAATTTGACTAATTATATATTGACCTAATAATATATAACTGATGTAATCCTGTAATTATTAACTCTGAAGTCGTATTCGATAAAGATGGCATGAACTCGTAAAATATATTATGTGGATAATGCTCAACCTTTTTTCTTTTGAGAGCTGAAAACGTACTGTTCTAAGTGTTTAGGATTACTTAGATCATAAAATCTTGATCTCGAAAAAAGCAATCATATTATGCTACCGTCGATTACATGCAGTAAATATATTTATCTAGTGTACTGTATTACGTACTTACTTGCAGTACGTATAAGTATGTGTAGGTTTCAGGACACCACATACGTAGTAATTTAAAGCTCTATGGATATCACCGAGTTATACACCATGAACTCCAAGGATTTTCCTGATTTATTCGGTTCGAACGGATTATTCAAAGATGAATTGGAAAACTTTGACACGAATCTAGAGGAGTTTCGTTCCTTTAATAAAAAATCTGAAGAAGTACGAGAAGAGATGTCAAAGCTTAAAAATGAAATAAAAACTTGGATGCAACGAAGGAGTCAATTCACATTAGCTCTCAAGAACATAAATGAAGTTTACCCTTCAGAAGTCCCTCCTGAGGACCAAAAAGATGATAAAACTTATCAAGAAAGATATAAAATAGCACAAACATTTATTTCCGAATGGAAGGCTTGTGTAGATAAAATACAAGATTTTCAGAAAACGTGTGATGAAATTGACGAGTTTTGGGGGGAGACCATTCAGAAAAACAAATATGACATGAACAAAACCCTCGATCAGCTCGCAGGACTGAGTTTATCAAATAGTCGTTTTCGTTCTTTGACTTATAACCTTTTTAAGCGTTTCATACCGTCCACTAGTCATAAAAAACGCCGAGGTTGTCTTTTCTCAGCGTAAGAGATTTAATTATTAAAAGATTTCTGATTCAAAAATTAACTTCGAATAACGAAACTATTTATTTGTAGAAGATTAACCGCCCCAATGTTTAAATCAATTATTCGGGTGAAAAACCTTTTCAATGAAATTCAACTTAACATGAACGGATATAGAGACGACGTTACTGCGACAAATGATAAAATTGGGGAATATCGTGAGTCGGTTGATGGAACCATACTCCACATTAATAGGATACGAATGGCCAGGACTCCGGCCTATAGTAACCAAGCACGACTGTGTTCTATATGTAATAAACCATACGTGTTTCTTAAATGGTGTAAATTTTGTGATCGTGAACAATTTCGGCAGCAGTTTTCCAGTTGGGAAAGTGGCAATCCAGAGTTAGATGAAGTCATCCGCGGTTCTCAGCTTTCTATTAAATATCCCAATGGATATATACTGTGGATTCCCTATGAAAGTTTTATCAATATTACATTTTTGGGCTGTGGTGCTTTTGCAAAAGTTTACAGGGCCGATTGGGTTGAAGGACTTGGAACCTGGGATTATGCTCTCGGTAAGAGAGTTCAATATCGAAACACACCTGTAGCTTTGAAGGTACTCAATAATTCAAAAAACATGAGAGAAAATTTTCTTGAAGAGGTAATATGCAATCATCATGGCATAAAAGACTACATATCTCGAGTTATTTATTATATTACTGATCATTCTTCATTTTAGGTTATTGCTTATATAAAGTCATCATCCAGTACCGTGCTTCGCTGTTATGGTATTTCAAAAGATCCCGAGACAAGTGATTATATAATGGTTTTTCCATATGCTCACGGGGGTAATTTAAGGAAATATATGGAGAAAGAACTAGATTGGGTAAACAAATTAGATGTCTTACGCCATATATTGTATGGACTGGTTGATATTCATAATAGAGGGTTGGTACATTGTGATTTGCATCCGGGAAACCTTCTTCACTATCGGAGAACTATTACAATATCTGACCTAGGCTTTTGCCATCCAGCAGATAGTATAAAAGGAAGCGAAATAATATTTGGTGTTATACCATTTGTAGCTCCGGAAGTTTTAAATGGTGATCGTTATACTCTAGCATCGGACATATATAGTATTGGAGTGGTCATGTGGTTTCTCATTTCGGGACAATATCCGTTCTGTGATCGTAAATATGATGAAAATTTAGTTAACGATATAATAGGTGGTCTTCGCCCGGAACTTATCAAGGAAACACCTCCAGATTACGAGAGATTAATGCAAAATTGTTGGGACGCCGATCCTCACAAACGCCCAACTTCCAAAGAGTTGTATCAAAAAATCTTATTCTGGCTTAATGAGTTCAATAAGAGCCCCTTACCAGACTCTGTTCGGCAATTTGTCGTAATCGGATCAGATCCACATAAAGAAAAATATATTTCTAACGAATATGGGTTCCAATCAAAAATCATAAAAACCCATAATTCGAAAACGGAAATTCAAAGAGGTACTAAATTCAAATACAATTAATCTCTTAAATTTATGTCTTAAATTATGACAAATTTCATAGGTAATAAGGCTACGAACGAGAATTGTGGTGAAAACGATGATGGTAACAAAAGTACCAATTACTTTGTTTTTGCTTTAAATCTTATCAATAACTTATTACGAAATACGTACATATTAGCCGACGAATGGAATACATTACATGTTAATGATTTCCAAGTTTGGTTATGTGAGTAATGTAAATTTTTTGTGATTTTCGCAGTATCCTTAAAGTTGTTGATTCCAACATAAAAACTATATAGACAAACTCGATATTATGGGCGATTTTTCCGAAAAAAAAATTGCTTCAATTGTTACTAACAAGTATCTCGATTAAAACAAGTATTTGAAGAATGAAAGTGAGTTTTATGTTCTTAAAGCAGTATATGTTAACATAGAGGCGTAACAACATAATACCATCATGCAATTACAAGTTTTGAAGGCATACTAAATTATCGTATACTTAATGTTTCTTATTTTTATTTATTTATTTATTGCTATTTTTACTTATAAAAATTTTTGCTACTTTTATACATTTACACATAGTTTATTAGATTATTATTAACTTGTTATATTTTTAGAATTTATATTTAATAAACATGGCACTATTTTTTGGCCATCACTATGGTCATTTAGGTCGGGAATTCTTAAAGTTCTTGAGTTTTATGGTAATAATTATTTATTCTAGAATTGACCTTCTTCATATTGCTTTGCATATTTGAGAGCATCAGCAACAGCTGCTAGTTTCATCATTGATACAATAGAAGCAACATGGAAGTTCAATATGTAGATAAAGAACTTGATTTTTTGTTTATCATTTATGATTCCATCTACGTATGTCTACCTTGGTCAATAACTTTTTAAAAAAGGTGTAGTAGGAGTCTACAGTTTCGTAAGAGACTTGTTTTCTTCCTTTCAAGTCTCTAGTCTATTTGTTTATCCAATGTTGAGAACAAAAATGGTTTAAAAGAGCTTTAATGATGGGTTCTCTTGCTATTGCATTATTGTGAGCATTGTTAACATCATAATATGCATTCCTATACTATTCAGCTTCATCAATAAGGTGAGCATTAATTATTCAATGAAGTTTTTCACCTTTTCAATTGTTGACTTGGGTTGTCTTAAAAAACTTCTTGTTCCAGTTGACTAGTTCTTGAGTACAATCTTCAGAAAAAATTTCTACTTTTATAACTACGTCATGGATATTTTCATTAACTAGATTGTAAATTACATTATTTGTTTTTATCATATTGTTAATGTTAATAATAGGAGTGGGTTCTTGAAAAGAGTTTCTAAGTTTAAATTCTTGAAATCAAAATATATTTCTTGTAAACTTGGATTTTTAAATAAAGAAAATAAATATAAGTTTTCACTATTATATAAAAAATTATTCTATAGCTCAAAAAGGTGAAAGGGTAAATTAAAATTGAACTGAATAGAAGAAAATATAAAATCATCTAAAGAAGTTGAAGGTATGGTATTAATAAAACATCTAAAAGTGTTAATTATAGAAATAACTTTTGGAAAAATACTATTAAAAATTAAAATATTGAAATATTTAATACTAAAAATGAATTGGTGAACTATATAATCTTGGTTATGAATAGTACTATTAATTAATTAAGTAAAATAATATTAGGATTTAGAGATATAGGAAATAGCAAAGAAATAAATTTGATATCAATTTCAAAATCATAGGAAACAAATATCAAGATGTTGTAAAGAGTAACAAGTTTCATAAACTTCTTTAGAAAATAACCAATATACTTGATTATATAGCTGGTTATTATCAAAGTGGTCACTAAATTTGCTTATAAAAGATGTCTTTCTCTTAATATTTACTAGGCTTAAGATTCTAAATAATTGAAATTTTTTTAATGAATACTTATAATACTAAACAAAGCTTTTATTATTTTCTTTAAAATATGAAAGGAGTTTATCTTACTGTTACCACCAATTTGTTAACTTATCTAATTTATCTCCTAAGAATTAGATAAATATGGAAAACTAGTATAAGAAAATATTAAGTTAAACTTCTAATGTTATATGCAAAAATTCCTAGTTTGAATAATAATAAATGAAGAGATTTATCACTAATAATTAAAACAGGAAAAATAGAATAATAATTTTGGATTAAAGATAATTTTATTGTTAAATAAATTCTGAGGAGTCTCCAGAGAGAGAATTTGCTTCTTTAGATATATAATTGAGTTATATAATATCTGAGAATATAAACTAAAATAAATAATAATAATTATTATACTATTAGTTTTGCTAGACTATTAAGCTATATTATATTAAACAGAACTCAAGTATTCTTCAAAATAATAGTTACATATAATAAAATAGGACTATAGAATATTCTAGAGTACTTTATACTAAGTTTGTCAATAACAAAATCAACTATCAATTTTCTAAAAGTGTTCTTAAAGATCTTTACTTTTAAATAATCAAAAGGATCATGATACTGTATATTGATTTGAGATACTGGGATTATCCTGGGTACTAGAGAGATTATATGGCAAAATTTTATAGTTTAATACTATGTTACTATTGAAATAATTTGCAGGTAGTTATATTTCAGTCAGATATTAAAAACTGTGTTTATATTTTTGTTGTCTCTATTTGGTGCTACTTGATATATTATTTTATTTGCTCTTTTATAAAGAGAATTATTGACTTTTTTGGATATCTTGTACCAAACTATTTTTTTTTTAAAAAGTATTTATTATATTTCAGAGATTTAATAGTATTTATTTTTTCTACTATTTTAATATATTCTAATTGTTTATAAATTTGTGATGATTTTAATAGGATTTTACAAGTCTTTATTGATATTAATTTCTTTACTTTGTCAATAATAATGTATATAATAATAGCTGCTATAATCTCTAATTTTTATATTGATACTTGTCATATAAATATTGAGGTAAATTCCAATTATCCATTATTTTGATGAATAAAGATAATTTATATTTCTATTCTTTCTTTCTTATTTATTCTATAACTTTTGTCTATATATACTAAGATTATTTGCTTTGAATCTAGTTTTTTGGATATTATTAATATATATTTATATAAGTTTTTCTGGGCTCTTATAATTTGTTCAAGAAGTTTTATATTAGATATTTCATATAAAACTATTATAGAATTTATTGTAAAATTGGGTTGTTACTATTATTTGTTCCAACTATATAAAAATATTTGTAATCTGTTTGTAAAAATATTATTCTTTTTTTAGTTAAACTTGATAATTTTAATAATGGGTACTATTATTAGGGATAATAATAGTATTTTTATGCAGTAGTTTAGTCTTATTTAATCAATATAAGTGATAAATTGATATTATTTATATATAATATTATAATACTTAAGTTTGAATTTATCTTTATTATAGTTGACTCTTTAACTGGTTATAACTTGCTTTGTCTTTTCAAAAAAAAACTACTTTTTTTGTTTGAATTTTTGAGTTCTTAGATAGATTTAAGCAAATAAGTTGAGTCCTGCTTCTATCAATTCTTGTATTAGTGTTTTATTTACTTTTGTACAAATATATTGATATCATCTTGATTTTTTTTTATTTGTCTTGTGCTTAAGCAATCAATTTAGTGCTATTGAATTATCTTTGTTTAAAAAGTGTCTAAAATTTGTTCCGATCAATATATTCTATGCTTTTTGAGTTATTAATATTAGTTTTTTGCAGGTTTTGTTCAAAAAGAATTCTACATATCTACCTGAATATGACAGATAATTTATTTGAATTGTTTAGAATTGTATATTCTTTATTTATATAGCTATTAATCCATCTTGGATAAATTTTATTCTGTTTTATATATATTTGAACATTTTTTGTAATATTGATTTTTTACTAGACATCATATTATAGCTTTTGAGTTTAAAGTCTAATAATTAGTCTGAATAAATTTTTCACTTCATGTAGTACTTAAAAGTCACTAGCAAATTCTTGTTATTGTCTAATATTTAGTTCCATAAAATTATATAGTATGAAAAGATAGAATATTATATTGAATATATAAATATCAATAACTCTTATTCTAAAATTAATTCTTTTTTAGCATCAATTTTAATTGTTTTCTTATTTAAGAGAATAATATTATATAATAAGTATTTGGTAAATTATTTACTTACAAGAGTCTAGCATATATTATTAACTTTTTTTCTAATAACTATATCTTTTATTAATTATATACTTATATTTGCTTAAGTGTAAGCAGAATATATTATAAATTTATTTACTTATATATCTTATATTATAAACTAGTCAATTACACATATCAACAAGTATTATATATATAATGTTTATAATAAATCTATTTATATATAAGTGAATATATATATATCCTATATACTATAATACTATATACAATTACTACCTATTAGAAAAATATATAAATCCTTTTTAATTTTTTCTAAAACAATTTTTTTAAAAGTATTTTGATTATTAACTTATTA